GAAGGAAGGAAGGAAGGAAGGAAGGAAGGAAGGAAGGAAGGAAGGAAGGAAGGAAGGAAGGAAGGAAGGAAAGAGAGAGAGAGAAGAAAAGAAAGAAGTTAAACTATCTCACCCATGATTATGATATGAAAAGAAAAAAGTTAAACTAGCAACTGTCACTTGCCTATCTAATTTTTAATTTTCATCCATGAACATGTTAGGATTTATTATAGGATAAGCCCCTTCAACAGCAATTGAGAATTCCTGGTACAAAAAACTGATGCAAATGCTTCACATAATTTATGAAAAAAATATTAAAATCCTCAAAAGATGGTAGAAGGTCCAAGACTTCTCAAAGACTGAGAAATTTTTGACTGCTCCACCTTTCTCTTTTGCCTTGCCTAAACAAGTGATACATATCTATATTATGACAATATTTCAACCAAACTTTTTCATGAATAGGACCTCACCATAACCATTACTTCTACTTTAAAGCATCATAGGAAGCTATTATTACAGCTATTTGACAGCTGGGGAAACTGTGACATACAAAGATGAAGTAATCTGCCCAAAGTCTGAGTCACTGGCAAACAAATTTATGTCCTACTCAACTCTCCATGTTCTTTGGCAGCTATTTCCTTTCCTGTCAATAGCAAAACATGCTGACACCACGTATGTGGACGTAACTACAAACTTTGTATCAGAGTAGGCAATTTAAATGAAAAAAGACCCCTTCAACAGAGTTCGTTTCAAGAATGAACACATGTCCACGATTAACCCCCTGATAGTTAACCTCCTCCTCTTACCCCAATTTCTTTGCCTACTGAAAAATGTTCTTCCCAGCGAAACCTTCCAAGATTGTTGTGGCTATTTATTCCCAACGAAAAGAGACAATTTTACTCTGTCTAATCCAGAATCACTCTCCTCCTTATATAGGTTATCTCTTTCCAACACCCTACTTTTTTGATGACAGCGGCTTCCCGGGCCTTCCCCAGATAGTCCTCATAGGCTCTAAAAGCAGCTGCCACTTTTCTCTAAACACCACTTGCGGCCCTCGGTTCCCAGCCCCCAATCCCTGGCGTCCGCGCTCTCCTCCTCACCACCGCCTCAGGCCCTCCCCCCGCAGCGTCCGCAACTGTTGCTCACCTCGGCCCCTGACAGGAAGGGGTGCGAGGGCCCAGTGATCGTCAGGTAATTGTCATTTCCTCCGGGAAACTAGAAATCAAAAGAAAGCCGCGAGATAAGTTAGAGGGAGCACGGAGTTAGCCTGGAGCGACGGATTCTGACCCCTACATTCTGACAACACTCCCCAAACTCCGCTCTCTCCTCTCCCGTCAGCTTCCTCTCCGCCCGGCTTCCCGCTTCTGCTTCAACCCGGTCGGCCCTGCTCCCTCGCCAGCTTTCTTAGCGCTCAGGTTCCTACCTCCATCTTCACACAACCGCTACCACCGCCTCAGTTTCCTCATCACTCCCACCTCCCCCACTGGACACGGAACTGCCGTCACTTCCGCAACGACGTGCGTTGCTCTCCCCTGATTGGAAGGAGCACCGTGGGGCTGCAGCGAGTCAGGCGCCGAGCGTACGGAAAAGCTAGCTATCGCCCCCTGGAGCTTGGTGGGATAATGGCACGTAGAAGTGCTAGAGGCGTCCCTGGAGGTACCGTTGGGTACTCCGGACCTAGTGAGGATTTCTGGGGAGAGCAATAGAGACGTGATCTGGGCTAGAGGAGCCGGAGAGGGGGAAAAAAAAAAAAAGTAAGGAGCTCGGTAGATTGAGTGGCTAGAGAGGTCGGAGGTAAGTGGCTGTAGAAGTCGGGCGTACCCGGAATCCTGAGGACTCGGGACCATGACTTATGCTTATCTCTTCAAGTACATCATCATCGGGGACACAGGTAACCCGCGGTGGACCGCCTTCAAGGCTGGGGCAGGGATCCAAAGCTCCCAAATCGAGTCGCGGGGGCGGGGCTCACTTAGTGGGCTGGGCGATTCGAGACTAGCGGGCGGGGGCGGGGCGGGACGGTGGGGCCGGGGGCGGGGCTCGGGGCTCAGGTCTCCCCTACACCTGTCCCGGACGTCCAGACTCAAGAAGGGGTTCCCGGCCGCGTGACTCCTAGAACGCGCATCCTCCTCTTTCAGGTGTGGGGAAATCATGTCTCCTCCTGCAGTTCACAGACAAACGGTTCCAGCCTGTCCACGACCTCACAATAGGTAAGTGCATCTACCTGCTCCAGAACAGATAATAAAACCTGACTAGCTAAATTGCTAAAGCAGAAAGAAAGTTAGTAGCCTTCAGTGTGCGGAGTAAAAAGTTACCTCTCACGACTTTAAACTAGTCCAAAGTTATGTTAATGAAGAGTGACTAAACAAACGTTGATAAAGGGGAGTAGTTTAATGGAGAGTAAATAATTTTAATTTAAGGGAACTTTAGAAATGAGTGTGAGGTCTGGGCTAGTTGCCATAGGATTTTTTTCAAATGCAATTTGTATGTTTATGTAAAATCCCACGAAAGTATACTGCTAATTCAAAAACTCATCTGTGTTTTGCAGTAAATTAGTACCAACCTCACATATATTTTTCGATATAAACATAGATTGTTTTTTTTAATATTGGAGACGAAGAAGCAAATTGAAGAGTTATCCTAGCCTTAGAATTAAAAGGCAGATAAAATTAATAACTTTCCTTTTAAAGAAAAGAGTATAGGCTGACGCAGTGGCTCACGCCTGTAATCCTAGCACTCTGGGAAACTGAGGCAGGAGAATCGTTTGAGCTCAGGAGTTCCAGACCAGCCTGAGCAAGAGTGAGATCCTGTCTCTACTAAAAATAGAAAGAAATTAACTGGACAACTAAAAATATATAGAAAAAATTAGCCAGGCATAGTGGCACATGTCTGTAGTCCCAGCTACTTGAGAGGCTGAGGCAGAAGGATTGCTTGAGCCCAGGAGTTTGAGATTGCTGTGAGCTAGGCTGATGCCACAGCATTATAGCCCAGGCAACAGAGTGAGACTCTGTCTCAAAAAAAAAGAGAGTATAATAGAGTTCCAAAAACTCACTGGTGATCCTAGAAAGTATTAACATCTGCCACATATTTGTGGTAAGGCATGGCCTGCAGGGGCTTTAACATCTTCCTATCCGTAATCTCCATAACCCTAGCCCAAATAAAACAATACATATATAAAGGTAGCTTTCTTGCCATGCAAATGCACCTTCTAAAACAAAACCCTAGCTCCCTATTCTTACCATGTTCTTTCAAGTCCCACCTGCATAGAAATCTGAAGGTACCACTATGCCCAGTGGGTTTATTCAGATCCAAATAGTTGATGGGGTTAGAAAAGGATTTAGAGAATAGAAAATATTTTTTGTTTTCTTGTTTTACACCTACAAAGCAAAGGCAAACAAAATATTTTTTTAAAGTGATATTAAGTGATTCTTGCACTGTGATAGGGGCTAATGGTATAATACTTAGCAAGGCAACCTTGTGCCTGTCCTTAAGTGCTTATAGTCTTCTAAGGAAGGAAGTAGGGCTGGGAGAAGTTACTGACAAGTAAATTTTAATTGCAGAAGGTGACGAGAGGCTGCCATCTCTATCAGGAAAGGTTGAATATTAAAGAGTGAGAAGTCAGGCAAAGCAGTTGTAGAGATAAGGGAAAATGATTAGGGCATCAGGGACAGGCTAGGGATGCAAAGGCTCAGGGATGGCAGAGATGAGACCACATTCAGAAAACAGAAAGTAATTGAATATGGCCTGGAGCATGGAGTTTGAAGTGGAGACTGGCAAGAAATAAAGCTACACAAAAAAAGGTAGGTACCAAATTTTGAAATCTCTGAGGATAACAGGAAGCAAATACCAGGTTTTTAAAGTGAAGGAGTGAAATTATCAATCAAGTTTTCCCCAAAGTCCAGTGGAGCCTGTGTTTCTTTCTGAGTTCAGTCTTCTGTACCATGACAAACAAGACATGCGGATAGAAAAAAATGTACCAAATAAAAATAAAGGTCTTTGAGTGTATAACTAGAATAAATTGCACAAAAGTAGACAAATACCATTCTTAATTGTCCAGAAAGGGAAAAAAAAAGATTTTTAGTGACCTTTTTCAATAGCTACCATTTGATTCTTTTTTTTTCCTTTTTCCATTTTTTTATTTCAGCATATTATGGGGGTACAAATGTTAAGGTTACGTATATTGCCCATGACCCCCTCCTCCCTCGAGTCAGAACTTCAAGCATGACCATCCCCCAAACGTTGCACATCTCACTCATTATGTTTATATATACCCATCCCCTCCTCCCCCCTCCTACCACCCGATAAATGTTATTCCTATATGTCCACTTAGGTGTTGATCCATTAATACCAATTTGCTGGTGAGTACATGTGGTGCTTGTTTTTCTATTCTTTTCCCGCTAATTATATATAGGTATGTAAGTATATGATAGTATATACTAATATATATATATATTATATATTATTATTATTTATTTTGTTGGCTAATTAATTTCTTCTGTTTTAGTAAGAGACAGGTCTCCACTCTTGCTCAGGCTGGTCCTTTTTTTTTTTCTCCCATT